TTTAAGATACAAAATTGTGTGTGATGATAACACTGTGTTCCATGCCGACACTTATCAACATATTGTAAACATGAACATTATTCTTGTGATTCTTTGTTTATCTACATCTATTTAGAGCACCGTGTAAGACAATTTATTGTCTTAGTTCTGGAAATATATCTTCTAATCCTAAAAGGACTCAAGTGTTTTAATTGAATACGGAATAGAACTCAAGCTTTTGGAATAACCACTTGTACATAGCTTATTAAAGTAAAACACAAGTGTTAATTCATTATACAATATGAATTGAAACAAACCTAGTCTAATGCAAACAGAACACTTGAAAGCTTCTTGATAGGCAAGGCATTCAAGTGATGCATGTATATATGGGTCCTTTCCCTTGCAGCAAAACGTACTCAAAAACATACTCTCACCCAATCTAAAGAAAAGAGAATTAAAGAGCTGAATAGGAGGTTTTAATCATAGTGAGGTGGACTCTTGTATATGGCAGCTTACCTCCAATGGTGAATTTTCAGTGAAAACGGTTATCTCTCCTTGTTTACTGAGGAGACTAATCATACTTGGAATTGGGATATTATTTGGAAGCTGCATGTTCCTCCTAAAATAAAAACCTTTGTTTGGCTGCTGTTTCAAGGTAAGCTCCTAACTAATGTCCAACGTGTTAGAAGGAACTTAGCTTCCAATCCTAATTGCCCTTGTTGCAACGTTTCCATGGAGTCTTTGGACCATCTTTTTCGCAGGTGTAGTCATGCGGCTAGAATGTGGAATTCCTAATCAAATTGCTCACTCTTTCTCTATGGATTTTAAGGATTGGCTTTTCATCAATATTAAGGCTAGTTTCAGCTGCATGCAAGGTATCCCTTGGTCCTCTCTATTCTTGGCCTCCTTGTGGTTTTGTTGGAAATGACGATGTAAGAAAGTGTTTGATGACAACTTTACCCCTCCTCATTGGCCCCACATTCCAATCATTCAGTTTACTAGGGAGTGGCTGGTGGCTAACCGCTCCAGGAATTCTAAGGCCTCCAAACAAATTCTTAAGTTACATTGGTCTCCTCCTTGTGCTGGCTGTTTTAAAATTAATGTGGATGGTAGTTGTATGGGTGAGATGGGATCTATTAGTGCTGGAGGCATCATAAGGGATTCTACGGGTGGATGGATTAAGGGCTTTGTCACTAATTTGGGGTGTGGTAAAATCCTTGAAGCTAAATTATGGGGTATTTTCAGAGGTTTACTCCTTACGTGGAACAAAGGTATCCGAAGAATTAAAGTGGAGTGTGACTCTTTTACTGCTATCTCCTTAATTAATGGACAGAATAGGCCTAGTCACCCTCTCTCTAGCCTCATCCATAGTGGCAAAGACATGTTATTGCATGACTGGGAGTGTTCCATTTCTCATATCTATAGAGAACAAAACATTGCTGCTGACCATATGGCACATATTGGTCAAAGTTCCAATTTGGGTTATCATGTTGTTGACCTTCCCCCTCCTTCTATTTTAAGCCTCTTGGCAAATGACTCTGTTAGGATGACCACTGCTAGGCTTGTCCCAGTGTAGTTTTCTTTTTGGTTTTCTTTCTTGGGCTTCGGCCCTCCTTGTAACCCAAAAAAAAAAAAAAGAGTTGCATAGGAGAAGAAGTTCCTCTATAGTTGTCATGGCTGAGCAAGGTTAGTATTTTGGAATAAAAGCCTAGAAAGGATTTACACACCTTCCGTAACATTGGCCAAAAAATAAAAGTAAATTTTTATTATTAAAAAAAAAAGGGCCTGAAAATCTCTCCCGACGAAATCGCTCAGGTCTATCCCCGCGAAATATGCTGAATTAGACTTCCCTCGATGAAATTTCGTCTTTCGTCGGGGCAAGTCTAATCCAGCAAAGCTTCGCCGGGATAGACCTGTGCCGACGAAACTTCGTCGGGAGAGATAAAATAGAAATTTTTATTTTAAATTTTCTTTTTAGTAATTAAATAATATCTTAGACTTATTTAATTACTTTTATCTGTAATTCTGTTTTAATTATTATTTCTTTAGTGAATAATTAAATATTTTAATTAATTTAATAAATGGTAATTTTTATTTTAAAATTTTTATTTCCATTTAATCAAATATTTAAATACTAATTATTCACTAAGTAAATAGTAATTAAAACATAACTACTAAATAAAGTAATTAAAAAAGATAAATCAAGATTATGCTATTCAAAAGTAAAACGAATTTAAAATGAGCATGTGAAGGTCGGATTCCTTACTCTAATTTCTGTTTGGCAGAACTTGACTGGAATCAAAGGTTTATCTGAGGCTAAAGTTGATAAGATATGGGAAGCTGCTGAAAACCATTTCAGCTCAGAGATTTTATATCTCATATGTGTTCTTTGTCTTAGTATGAAAATTGTATTGTCATTTCCTAGACTCTAGCATAGGTTGGGAAGTAGTGTGTGAATTATGTTTACTAGAAGATTTGGCGCAACACATTCAATCCCGGATTTTCGAAGTGTGACATGATCAATATGAGGAAATTGATTTCAGGTAAATCATGACATAATCATGCATTCATTATAGGATTCCTAGTTAAAGTTATTTTCACTCAAGCACTTTTATGTTAGTCCTATTTTAATAGGATTAGATTTTATCTCTTGAGATTGCTTTCCTAGTTGGACTCTATTTTGATTTAAGTTAAAATATTATATTTTCCCATTATGACTTGCATGTTGAAATCATCTCCTACTTGATTGGTCTAAATTCTTTTGTTTTAATAGATATTATTTTTCTATTAAAAATTGGCTGGTTGGCGTTTTCTTCAAGAATCCATATTGATTCAAAACTAGTTGTCATAATTGATTAACCTTTGTGGTCCTATTTTGACGTCCTTACTATGAGTTCATTTTGCATCAAGTTTGGAGTCATATAGTATAATAGGTTTCAGAGTCATTGTTGAATTGAAATAGTAGTCACGTGGGTTTCTCTCTTTTGAGAGAAAACTTGCCTTGAATAAAATGCGGTGTTTTCTTTTTCAAAGATTGAGCTTTCGACATATTTTTTTTCAGTATACTGAATTTTTAAGAGAAAGCTCATGTGCATATTTTTGAGATAAATCATCAAGTGTTCCATGTTTACTTGGTGATTTATCAAACACTTTAATCATTCATATTGCATTCATTTGCATTGTTCGGTGACTCATACGGTTGAGGGCACCAAGACCGTGGTGGCGGTTTTCCTCCAAGGAGCTTGAAGCAATCGTGACCAGTATTGCATTCAACATAAGGAGTGTCGAAGATCATCCCGTGACAGAAGTTGAGTTACGAAGAAGTCGGTAAACATTATCTAGAATGTGTCTAGGATAAGTGTGTGAGCACTTCTTGTAATCATCGTTCTATAGTGGATTTGTGTTGGATTGAAGAGTCCCGTGGATTTTCCCCAAAGGTGAGGTTTTACCACGTAAAATAATTCTCTCTGTGTTCTTTTATTTTATTCCCAACACATTTCAGGATTGATAAGCCATATCAATCCTGCTACCGAAGTTTATTTTTGTTTACTTGATTATAATCTTGAATTGGCCTATTCACCCCCCTCTAGGCATTTTTAGTCATCCTACAGGTATTTTCACTTTGGTTGTAAGCCGTTATGTTGCTGAAATGTTCAAAGACAAATTCAACTTGGTATTCATAGTTTGATAGATATTCAACTTCTTGCTGAAATGTTCATCTAATGGCAGAGGAAACACTTCGGAGACAAATTCAACTTGTTATTCATAGTTTGAGAGAGGTAAAATCTTGCTGAAATGTCCCAATTCATATAAGACTCAAAAAGTTATGTACTTTATATTAGGAACTTGTAGTTTCATGTTTAACTTCATCAATTTTTTTGTTTATCTGGCTCTAGATGGCGCTGACGGGTTCCAGAATACCCATCAAATGCAACAATTTCAATCTGCAGAATTTAGTATTGATCAGGTAACTTTCATGTACATTTTTCTTTCTTATATTATTTGTTGTTATCGTTGTTAGGGGAGCTCGTTTGGGAGGGCTTTTGGAGCAGCGAAAAGCGCTTCTAAATGGGTGAAAGCGCTTCTGTCTTTTTAAAATGGTGTTTGGCAAAAATTGCAAAAGCGCTTTGAGTGAGATCCAAAAGCACTTGGAGTGGTCTTGGAAGAAGTACTTGAGAGGTGCTTCTTCTTAAAAGCATTGCAAAACAAAAAAACACGGGATGCACTTGGCTCCCTTTAATGAAACTTTTAAAATACCGAAAATACCCACATTTAATTTTTTTAAATGCCAAAATACCCTTTCTTTCTTCTTTTTTTTGTCTCTTTTTCTCTCCTATTAAAACCAAAACACTACCCACGACCACTATAATACCTTTATGGTTGTCAAAGATGCACCAGTTCATTGTCCACAGATGCAAATTAATTTCACAGTGATTCTTTTATCAACGGCAACAAAGCAGGATCCACTTCATCTTTCGACAGTAATTGAACTATCAACTCCGTTGTTGATGCATCTGCAGAAAAAGCATCATGGCCTCGTCAATCTTTTTATTCTTACAATATCCATTTATCAATGTGTAGTAACTAACAACATCAACCACCGAGCCCTTGCTAAGCATCATGGCCTCATAAATCTTCTTATGTCCCCTTTTTTATTTTCAAAAAATGATTAAAAATTATACTTGATGAAGTTCATACTTTTTTAAGTCGTGTTTTTATTTTGGGATCCTGTGAATTTTTATTTCCTATGTTTATTATAATATTTTGGGATTCTTTAAAAAAAAAATTAAGTACTTTTAAAAGCGTTTTTTACTGTGTCAGTCAAACACTTAACAAAATATCAAAAGCGCTTTTATGTACTGTAAAAGCTTTATTAAATGTGAAATTAATTTGCATGGTACTATATATATTCTTCAGCAAGTTGTTGAGGCCTAAAAAATCCAAGGTTGGGCCCAAAAATATATCTGGCCCAATGCGATACCTTATTGAGAAAAAAACCAATTGAAGCACATGAAAGTTCGTCATACACGCTTGCACACCTCGTCTTCCCTTTGCTTCCTCTCTTCCTGCTCCTTCCTCCTAGCGAGGGCCTCTTGCATCTCCCTAACATGCTTTGGCACTTTCTTGTCTGCTGCTTTACCTTTCACTTCATTCTTCTTGGATTCTTTTGGTTCAATTTTTTTTTCTTCTTGTTTTTCATCCTCAATGGCCACAGAAGCAGTAGCAGTCCCTGCAGCCGCTGCTGCAGCTGCTGCCTTTTTCTCCTTTTCCTTGTCCTTCTTCTTTTTCTTCTTCTTCACCGCAGCAGACTCCACAGTCTCTTCTTCACCTTCCTTTTCACCTGAACCATCAACCGGGGCGACTATATCAGGTTGAACCTCAACTTTCTCCTCTTGCATGGGAGCAGCAGCAGGTTTCGATGCAAAAGACCCCTCACCTAGCTCAGCAAGAATCATATCCAAATCATCCTCTTCCTGAGCAGTCCTTCCACTTTTCTTCTTCTTTTTCTTACTTTTTGAAGTTTCTGGAACCTCTTTACTCTTGTTAACTTTAGCATCGTCAGCTTCAATTTTACTAGTTTCCTTACTTGGTTGTTCTGGTTCAACTACATCTGTATTTTCAGCCCCAACCTTAGTTTCTTCACTCGATGCAGTAATAACACTATTATCTTTCTTTTTGGAAGACTTCTTCTTACCTGTGAATGCAATCACAGATGCATCTTCGTCCTCAACTCCGTCATCACCAACTCTAGTTGATTCGGATACAGAAGTATTTGGCAGCTGCAAAAACTGAAGTTATTTGGCAGCTGCAAAAACTGAAGAAAAAAAATTCAAATTTTAGCCTAAGGTGAACGGTATCAGTTTTGATACCGAACCATCCCGATCCCGATTAGAGCCGGTATGGTTTGAACGTGTTTTGAAAATCTCCCATCCCGTGTCATACCGTCCCGATTCTCCTATTCGGGATTGACACCGGGATGACCTCCATCCCGTGTCATCCCGTACCGTGCCCACCCCTACTTGCACATGTGCCACACCAAGCAAACAAGCAATACGCCATGCTACAAGCTTAAGTGGGCCCAAGCCACACAAATGCCTAAAGCTTGCTGAGCGGGTTGTGGTATGGATGGTTACGAGCATTCACGAGGCCCATTGATGAGCCAAGAAGTGGAAGTTTTGGGCTACTTGGGAACACCAAAACTCAAACCCATTTCTTGAGCCCAAACATATGGGTAAGCAAAAGAGAGAGAAAAATGACCCAATGCCTTAGGAGAATGTCCAATAGTCTGCAACACTTAGGAAAGCCTCATATCAGTTAAAGCCTCTAGCACCTCATCAAAAGGTAAAGCAAATAAGCCATTTCCAACAGCCTGACGAAACCTTAGCTGACTACTGGAAGTAGGAAGCCAATGACCCAATGCCTTAGGAAAAGCCCAGCCCAACGCCTTATAAAATATCTAGCATCGTATTCCACTCTTGTCAAAGCTCCATAAACAGCCAACAAGAAGCCATTGCAAGAACTAAAGGAAATCCATGTGTGTAGGAGGAATACCCACTGGACAAACGACTCTATCCATTCCCTTTTTCCTCTGCAAACTCTAATTTGAAAACCAAGGAAGAAAGCAGGTGGCGCCTCATCCCTATGAGGAGGTCCAGCCGCATAAAACCTTGGAACCCCAAAGAACCTTTGACCCAGGCACTCTGGTTGAAGAGATTTCACCAAAAAGGGGTAATTGGAAAGAAGCAAAGGAAAAGTGGGAATGGAGGATCGATAGAATTAGGGTTCTAAGCGCCTATAAAAGGGAGCTTCCTCAACCCAACAAAACAACATCATCCAGAGCGCGACCAAGCTTTGTCAAGCGACTGGAAATTTACTCTAGACACCCTGTCTTCTATTTCTATTGCTTCCTTTCTTCCTGAGATAGAAATTCTCCTAATCTTCTCCTCCCCCGCTCTGAACTCTTTTCTTTCCGTAAGAAATTCAAGCTTTTGTCTCTCTCTCTCAAATTGCTAAACTTGTGAAGGCTTAGCTCCCATGCCACAAGCTCCTCAAGCCAAGCCATACCATTGCTAATCTGTCACGTTTATTTGGTTGATTGGTGAAAGAATCCAAGGTGTTTTCTAAGGTTGCCACTACTCCTTTCAAAACTCTCTTGGAGCCCGATCTTTGAACTCAGAAACAGGGGCAATATTCTCCCCTCATTCTTTACAGCAGCCCAAGCCCATTCGTCTGGCTGCTGGAAGAAAAAAGACCCCCACACAAGTATATTCTAATTGCCCCAATAATATCTATATTCCTATGTGCAGACATTGCTTGTCATGTGCATACGTCCCCATCATTGACTTGACGCTAGCTCTTCAATTACTCATGTAGATTTTTTTATTTTTTTTTTCAAGTGCCCATAGAGATAAGACTTCCATATATAGGGCTCACCTCAATTAAAAATGTAGTTAGTAAAGTGGTACACGATTGTTTTATATATGTTCAAATATTTAATTTTGCAAAACTAATGCATCCAACTAACTCAACCAAAAAAGTTGCATCCAATTAATGATGTTCTTGGAATATTGATACAAAATAAATTAGGTTAAAAAGATATTTAATTTTGCAAAAATAATGCATCCAACTAACTCAACCAAAAAAGTCGCATCCAATTAATGATGTTCTTGGAATATTGATACAAAATAAATTAGGTTTTAAAAAATATTTAATATCTGAATATGATCTATTACGACAAAGACTCATCGTCACAATCATGGTGATTATTCAAAAGATGTAACATCCCTGATACAATTTAATCGATTTAATCAAATTTAATTCTTTTGTGAAATTTCAATTTTGCCCTTGGGAGTAGGGGTACTTTGGTCACTTTAAGAAGAAAAAAAACATTTATTGTATGGCATTACGTGATGGTGTAAGTTTGTGTTAGCTTATGTGAGGCCCCAGTTTAAGGTTAGCACAGGGCCCTCAAAATCTCAAGACTGGCCCTGGTGAGAAACCCCCCTCCTTCCCCTTTGTAGTTTAAACTATCGCTTGTATTAAAAAATAAATAATAAAAAATAAAAAAACTTGATTATGCTATTGTCTCCAAGTTCAGCTTCTATTAGTTTCTATAAATAAATTTACAAAAATCTATTAACACACTAATTAACGCGAATGCAAATCACTAACGAATTTGCTTGGTATTGAATTACGAAAGAGGACGGAATGGGAAGAAGAAACATCATTTTTAAAATGAATAAATTAATTTGCTGTATGGCCACGATATACATATGAAAGATAGGTTGTTGCGTGAAGCTTTTAATGAATGGTGAAGACTCTCACAAATTATTGGTGAATCGAAGGCTAGAGTTTGAGTAGAGCGCAATGGAAAGTTTGTAATATCTTGGGCTGAAAGGCCAGGGCCATGGGGAGGTGAAGGGTTTAGGGTTTTCACTGAGTTCTAATGATGTTATTAAGGGTTTTTTTTTCTGTTTAGACAAGTGTCATTAGGAGTTCTGTCCAAAAGAAAGTATCATTAGGAGTTAAATACAGAACCGCATATGCACTCTAATTGTTCATAACCAAAATGCCTTGCAAACACATCACTCATTAGCTACAAAATGAAAATGCTGCCCAAATGAAAATGAAGAAAATATATAAAAGAATTATCATTATATAATGCAAAATTTGACATTAACACAACTCGTAGATTCTGTCAACAAACAACTGTCATCCCCACATTTGTTTTCAACCCGAACCCAATGTTCATATCGGATTCATATCATGTTATCTTGTCATATTAAGAATATCATCCCAACTCATATTGGATAATTTAGACATACGCATGTTAATCATACATTACTCGGACAAAAATGACAACCATAATCAATGATCTACTGTTTTCTCCCAACCTTTTTGTGCTTGAATAATTTGGTGGATTTATTACTATTAGTGCTAGGCCTCTGCCTCCCAGCTGCACCCTTGCTCATATTTGTCTCATCTATCTTCCTCTTGCGACCACTTTTGGGCCCTTTATTATAATTCTCTTTGTTTGTCTTTCCACTTCTTTCTGGCTGGTCCTTAATTGATTTTACACCATCAGATTGCCTACCTCTCCCAGCTCGCTTCAGTCCACCCCCAGAAGACATATGAAGCTCATTGGTTCTAGGGTTGCTGGGCATGTGTTTCTTTGCCCTTTTACTCATTCTATGTTCCGTTGATTCATTCTTTTCAGGTCGCGTACCAAAACCCTTGCGTTTTCTATCCTCCATCCTTTAAGAAAGAGTTCAACAGCAGTGAGACGATGTAAACTAAATACAGTTAGTATATTGGCAAATACAACTGGTCAGTACAATGATATCAGACCTGTTGGTTGAAGAATCTTCATGACTTGTATCTATATCGGTTGTGGCAACTTCGTTGGAACTTTTCTTGTTATGGCGGCTCTGCAGTAACATTGCACAGTAAATTCAATTTCTGATGTCACACATAGAAATTTGATTCATCACCTCAGTTCAAATCAACAGATTAGACATGTCAACAAATTCGGCTCAACTAAATGATTAATTTTCTTTCAATAATGTTACAATGTGAAAATTAAGGCCATAATAGGAAACAATCATAAAAAAGAGGAATCTGTATTATCTGCGACATGAAGGTTTAATTCTGGCCAGCACGTGTTAAAACATGGGTACCCTGAACTTAACCATCAAATCACCTTTTCAAAAGGTTCAATATATGGAAACTCAACATGTCAAACACAAAAGGAATATTACCTCCAAAATACCCTTGACAAAATTCTTGTATTTATCTGGCGTAACTAACTGAACTGCTGCAGTACCACACTTCCTTAACAGAATCTCCATTATGATTGTGACCTGTAGATAAAACAAACATGATCAAGGTGCAAAAAACAAAAAATGTTTACATACAAAAATGTGAATATGTATAAACATTCTACAAACATAAACATGCGTGTGCATTTGTATAGCCACTAAAAGCATTATTGCTAAATATGTACGTGCCTTTGATTTGAAATGATGTCTCGAGACAGGTGACCATGGGAGAACTGCATTGACGATATCAGGAAGAAGATTTTGCAGACGTCTAGCTTGTAAGCAAGATACTAGTACTTTCACAAAGCCCAAAACAGCCTGTTAAATGTGCAGCAACTAACTCATTAGCATTTCAGGTCCAAAAAGAAGCTCATTAGCATAAACAAAAACAGAAAGAAGAAAAAACAACAAATGCCATCAGAAGTAACAACACTCACTTTTATAACTTCTAGAGCTTTCCCTTGCAGCAAAGATAAAAGAGAGGGAACAAGATCAGGCATCGAAAGACAAATATCTGTATCCTTATACATCAGCACTGATAGCACAGACACTGCTCCACTCTTTATGTGAGGTGATCCACCGGAAAGATAGCCCATTATCTGAATATTGTAAAATAATCAGTTGATAAACATACAGCAGAACAGAACCAGGTCATCCAACAAGGGCCTAATGTGAGCAAGAACGCTCATAAGAAAGATGGATTGGAGCATACTAGTTTCCATTCTCTACATATTACTTATATATGATTTTTTTTTTCAGGATGTACAGTTAGTCTGTTGAGGAAATAGAAAGAGAATGAGAATCCAAGAGGAAATTAAATTACAATCAAATCAAGAGACTACATCACCCTTATTAAACAAACTAGGAAAGCAAATATTAGGAGTGTCCTAATTACAAAATAATTCTATTTCCAACACACCCCCTAGAGCAGAAGCATAAACAATTATCATGTTCAGTATGTTACAAAACTCAGAAACATAATCAAGAACTTGAAAACATAATAAGAAACTAAAAACTTTTGAACCAAGAAAAACTAAAGACACTAAAATAAATTTTAATATAGATACATATATACATACATCTGGATGTAATCCAGTCAAGCAATTTAACAATATAATACTAACTAGATTCCTCCACCAATCATTTGAGCACAGTACAAAACTAGCATTA